TTGATCAGAAACGGCACAACTCGAACAATTGCAATCAGAACTCGTCGTATCTAGCATATTCCCGAGCGAATTATCCGTTCTGTGTAGTGAAGTTAGCTGATGAGGTCCCATTAAGGACTTTTCACGTCAATTTTATGCAAGTTCTCCGTTTGGTCTTCATTACGGTAGACTTTAACACTGATGTCTTTCTCTCATTCAGTAGTGGCCGATGTGATCCCGGCGCACATCCTCTTACGGTCGTATAAATGTGGTTGAAACATGCGGGGTCAGTGGTGCACTTTTGATCTCCGTGCAACCAGGTGATTGTTAGATTAATTTCTATGAGACGGTCGTACACGTACACATGTATGTATGTATGTGTGTGTGCGTGCTTGCTTGCCCGCTCTGCGCGGTGGATTCTGGTCTTGTACACTCTCTCGTTACAATGTTCACTTCACTGCCACAGCGCCCCGCTAGGCTTTCAACTGAAAAAAGAGGTGTGTTTGCATTCCTACCTTTCGAATCCTGAGTGAAACTTCCGGAATCTGAATCTTATCCTAGGGACTCACGCTCGCCCGAGCCGCCATGTCTGACATGACCTGTATGTTACGGCAGCGGACTGCTATGATCGTTAGACGATCGACAAAGGCGGTAAATTATGCTATCTCATTATGATAGTATATGCAACTGTCTGTGGTGGATTTCCGACATTATAATTGCTATCCTCGAGAATATTTGCGGTGTGATATTGTTCATATATATCATTGGAATACCCTTTCCCATTCAACACTATAAGCTCGTGGAACTTAACATGCGGTTGAGACAAGCTCGAGAGCAAATCAAGTTTCGTTCAGCGAGCGAATGCTCTTCAGTCAGGAGCATTCGCTTACTGAACGAAACTCGAGAGGCCTGATGGATGTGAGGATAGATCTACTCAACGTTAATCAGTTGTTATCGCCGCACCATGGCTGAAGTCTTCAGAGTCGAAGATCGTCGAGGCTGTGGTGATTGGACGTGCAATATTCTATGGATACTGGTCGGTGGCTGGGCTTCTGCTGTATTGTGGTTAGTCTTCGGTTGTGTATTCTGTATCACTATAATCGGCATTCCTTGCGGTCTGCAGTGCTTCAAACTGGCGAAGCTATCGTTCATACCATTCGGCTACCGAGTAAGCACTTGATGGGTTCTGCCATGCTATTTGGCAAATTGCCTTGTCCGTTTTGTCAGGTTGAAGATAAAGGTGATTCTGCCTGTTGTTCATGCAACTGCCTTGGTAACTGCTTGTGGTTCATTCCCGGTTTAATTATTGCCATTTTCAATATACTTTCGGCAGTAGTCTGCTTTATCACTATAATTGGTATTCCATTCGGAATTCAGTTCTGCAAACTGGCAAGGCTAGCCTTCTCACCATTCGGCCTCGAAGTTACTGCAGACAAGGTTGTTGCTGTAGGGAGAATTTGACGCGTAGATGATTTGGTACCGATAAGGATCTGTTGCTTTCCTATCATAGTAAACTTGTTCAGTGACAGGATCATTCCTACCATTCACAGCACACGATCTGGCAACACTATTTTTCTAGGAGAAATACTTTGTGTTGATAATGTACAGGAATCATCAGTTTCTGATTGAACTGTCAACTGGTGAGCACGTCACATGACTCAT